GTTGATGGTTATGGTTTGTATCCTGTTAATGCCGTGTATTAAGGCCTATAGCATTGGTCCTATTTTTTCTTCTATGAACTTTATAGTTTTTGGCTCTATATTTATGTCTTTGATCCATTTTGAAGTAGTTTTTGTATACGGCGTGAGGTACTGGTCGTGTTTCATTGTTTTGCAGATGGCTTTGCCAGCACCATTTGTTAAAAAGACTGTCTTTTCCCCATTTGATGGACTTTGGGCCCTTGTTGAAGATCAGGTGACCATAGGTGGATAGATTTACATCTGGGTTCTCAGTTCTGTTCCATTGGTCAATGTATCTGTCGTTGTACTTGTCTAAGAGTCTTTTAAAGACCGCTCCTAATTCAGGATAACTCAGTTCTTGCAAAGGTCAAACCAGCAACTCTGCACGTATGACAGGCCCAGCATGAGAAGATGCAAGTTCTGACTGGGCAGCCTACAGAAGATCAGTCCACTGGTAAGTTCTAATTGAATAGCTAACCGGGGAGCTAGACGCTAACAGGTTCTGCCGGGGTAACAGCTATGGATTAGGAAACGGTTGCATTCTGATTGGGTGATAAGTAGAGGATCAGGAGGTTGCTGAGCTTTAATTGGATGGCCTATACAGGAACAGTTTTTTGCTAAATTCTGATTGGCTGAATGTACTTCCTGTCGAGGTATCCCAGTATCAGTTTCTAAGGCACCTGCACAGGGTGGCATGTTCAGAAACCAATCTGACAGCAACTTGAAGCTGCTCATGTTTATATTTCTCATGATGTGTTCCAGTTTCATTGTTCTAGTTAATATCTGAAAGTGTCTGGAAAAATGGATTCTGCAGCTGAAAAGTCCCGAACTTATATTGTTAAGGCTGAAAATAGCCCACAATTTTGTTAAAAATAATAAATACCAGCCAGCCTTATTGATAGTAGCGCCTATTTGTGGCACTCTACCATAGGCCAGTCCCTGGGTGGTGCAAATGGTTAATGTGCTCAGCTGCTAACCAAAAGGATGGAGGTTTGAGTCCACCCAGAGGTGCCTCAGAAGAAAGGCCTGGTAATCTATTCCCCAAAAATCAGCCATTGAAAACCCTGTGGAGAACAATTTTAGTGTGACACACATGGGGTCACCACAAGTTGGAATCAACTCGACGGCAACTGAAACTGGAACCACTGCAGGCCAGGTGCTGTGCTTGACATGCGCTATCTCACTTGATCCGTACAAGATGAGATAAGCAATATGGTTCCCCCATTTTACAGATGAGGAAAGTAAGATTTGGATAGGGCAAGAGGCTTACCCAAAGGCACATGACTAGTAAGCGTCTGAGTTGGGGTTTGTACTCAGATCTGTCTGATTTCAAAGTTCTTATCTTTACCCTGGAAACCCTGATGGCATAGTGGTTAAGAGCTGTAGCTACTAACCAAAAGGTCAGCTGTTCAAATCTACCAGGCGCTCCTTGCAAACCCTATGGGGCAGTTCTACTCTGTCCTACAGGGTCACTATGAGTTGGAATCAACTCAACGGCTACAGGTTTTGGTTGTTTTATCTTTACCGTAGGCTGTTTCTAAGTTTGCAAAGGAAAAGAAAATGTGCTCATGAGCAGTGGCCAACATTCTGAACATGGGCTAGAAGAAGGGCAAAGCCTCCTGCGAGCGCCTCTTTGATGTGAGTGAACCATTATGCCTCATCTTAGTCGAAGCTCCTTCCCTCAGGAAGTCTGAGAGCTGCGAAGTGTTGGCAGGCAATGTGGGGTGGGGTCAACCTAGGAAGCCTTCCTGGAGGGAGGGAGTGTTGAGCCAGCTCTTTTAGGAGGGGTGGGGCCCAGCTGGTAGAGAGGAGGGTGGAGGTGAAAATGCCACACCCCTGGGACATTTGGCACCTTCCAAGCCATGCCATGCCCTGTCAAAGCCAGCTGTTGGCTTTCTGCCCTGGCTTCCACCCTCCTTCCTCCCCTTCTCACCTCCCAAGTCTCCTGAGTCAGCTCTGGGCTTCTGGCTGGGGGATCAGACCCCTTCCTGCTCAGGAAAGTTGGGCTAGCTTTAGGGCTCCAGGGTCTCGCTCCTCCCTTCCTCTGGGCTGCGACTGGTCTCAGGGACAATCCACAACCCAAAAGGAACAGACAGTGTGTGTCCCTGTGTCTGTTTGCTTGTTTCTCTCCACCAGGGGAGGCAGAACAACAGCCCTGGGGTTGCACCTGAGACCTTATTACCCCAACTACCGCTGCAGGAATCAGGTGCAGGGGGCTGAGGGAGGGAGCCTCAGGAATGAGGACCCCACTCAGCCTGGAGGTAGGACTGTGTTTCCTGAGCCCCACTGGGGGCCCCCCCAAGAGCCGGGCCTGGGGGTGAGAGATGAGCTGAGCAGCAGGGGTGGGAGAGA